TTCACCATTCAGATAAATTTCCTCGCCCCGGTTTACCTCGTCACAACTGAAGAATAAAAACCGATTACAACTGATCCCAACATAGGCAGTATAGTACTCAAATGGTCAACTTATTATCAACACGTCTATCTTCCGATGTACCAAATTCTAATTGCTATTGGATTGGCCAAAAAGTCTCCTCGCAACGTTCAAACAAATTCAACGTTAAACTTCATAAAACCATATATTGTTCAATCAATTTCTGCCATCGTCGTTCGTGGGTCGCAATGGAAGTTCAAAAAACTGAGAAGTCATTTTGGTCAACCGAATATAACATCGATATCAGACGCCCTTTCCGAATAAATGCGACATCCAGTCGAAAACCTCTAAAATAAACGGTACCGAAATCTTCCGTCCAAAATCCCGCTGCACAAGAGTTTCGATCTTCAACGCGTGGACCAATCTCGCACGCAGCGCACATATAAAAAAGAGAAGCGAGAGTTCAGCCGAATGACCTGCATTCGATCTTCGAAGCAGTAGAGTCCGGGCTACCGAGAGACTCCGCGACGCGCCTGAGTGAACGCGAATCAAGAGAATCGTAATTCGTCACGGATCATCGTTCCCAGCATCTCACCGCGTTCTCCAATGAAACCGCGCGTCTCATTTGTCCGGCGACGACGATGACGACGACGCGTGTCCGCCAATGAGGAGCGAGCAGCGCGCTCAGCCGGCAAGCGCGCGAAAACTCGCCGCTATTGTACCCTTCGACAGTCACTCGAACACAGCTACGAACTTCCAACAAGAAGGAACATCAGATTTCGAGACGATCGTTGGTTGTCCTCGAATCCTCCTTCGACTGTATCGTTTCTTCCTCTCTTCTCTATCCCTCTTACTTCCTGTCGTCGTCTATGTTTCGTCCATTTTGGTCCTAGAATCAATCTCGTCTTCTCGGCCGAGAGCAACAGCAGCGCGCGCGACAGACTTCTTCGCTAATCGAGCATGAGAACCTCCAAGGACCGGGAGATCCAAGCGGCAATCTTCTCGCCAGAATGTGAAGCATCGTGGAACGTAGTTAGCTTCCCTCTATAGTAATACTTCCATCGACCGGAACGAGCACTATCTTCGAGATTTCTCCGTGACCCTGTGTGAGACCATCCCCTGAGAGAGACCAAAGCTTCACGACATCCTCTTCACCGTCGTCGTTTCGTCTAGCACCAGTGACGACCCGCCTCCGTCGTGTTCGTATACGCGTGCGCCGAATCGATATTCTCCACATTATACAAATTCGATGTCGTTTCGTTCCGGAGCCGCGCGAGGTCCGCATCACAGCTCTGGAAACCGGAATGCGAGCCACGAACGTTCCGCAATGGGTATTCGGGGTACGTAGGAAAATACTACGGCATTCTCGGGTAAGGAACAAGGGACAAAGGGTGGCGGCGCGGAGGAGAAAGGGAGGGTGGCAGGTCAGACAGATAAATAAAACAAGGGGACAGCTTGAGGAAGACCGTCCATGGTCGCGTGACTTAAATGTCCGCATACGTCGGATGATTTGGTTGCGTTGCTAGTCTGCGCTCCATTTCGATACCATTACGTGACACGCTTTTTAAATAAAGATAATAATATTAAATCGTAGTCAATATAATAATAATAATAATAATAATAATTAATAATAATTAATAATAATAATTATATAATAATATTAATAAACTCTGCAATATTCAATATAGGTTTGTTCACACGGACTAGATACACTTCCCGCCGAGCGACCGATCGATCGATACGCTCTTCCCTCTTGACTCGACCCTTGTGCTCATCGGACACGCATCTCGTTCAAGGCGCGCACGGGTTGAGGGAAGCGGGAGGAGGGTGCGGAGGAGGGGGAGCAGAACGGTGGAGAAGGTTGTTGGAGAGGGATGTGCGAGGAGGGGGGATCAGCAAGAGGAACGAGCCATGAATCGGTTGAATACATTGACCATTGACGCATGCCGCGCGTAATCACCGGGGTCGTGGCTAACGATTACCACAATCTTCGCCGTTCGGATGATCCGTCGCGGTTCTCTAGCTTTACGAATCAACGCGCTCCTCTACGAGCGCGCGCGTTCCCACACACACGCCGCCGCTCGTTGGCGTCGCAACTAGCGACGACCATTTTTTCCCGCAAGCCGCGTGTCTCTCCGCGTTTATTAGAAAATAGATTGCACTTGGTGATAACCACGTGGCCTATCTCTCTCTCCCTTCTTCTTCTGCTCTCTATCTCCCCCTTTGTAATCGTTATCCATCGAAGGAGCAACACTGAGAGTCGGGGCTGCGCGCGCCGGGCTCACCGACCAATCCTTCCGTCGTTCCGTGCATCGGTCTGCTCGCGGCTCTCCGACGTTCTTCATCAACAGAGGCTGCAACATTTAGAGGCATCGCCTAGGTGAATGTGGCAGACCGTGGGCAACGCGGTGCACCCTTTGCCTACCACGCTCTCCTGGACCAGGTGCGGCAGGCCGAGATTCTGGTTGATGTCGCTGTCGCTGCCGCGGTGCTGGTGCTTCGCGTCGCACCATTGCCTGCGGTCCCGCCATTTGTCATCCACTGTCGAGCAGAACAGCATGGACTTGGGGGATGGTGGGCTGACGCGGTCCCGGGCGATGCTGCCGCAGGAACGAGCCTTGTACAACCGTCCCTTGCCGAATAAACCAGGCAGAGGTACACACAGCTTCTTGTGCAGCGCGAAATAGCGACTCAAGAGTCGTATCTTCCTGTTCTTGCAGTCGTTCCTGTTCACGGAACCGTTCCTATTCTCCTTGTCGTCGGACGGTATCTGGTTTACCGAGCTGTTGTTCAAGTCCCACCTGTCGTCGCAGCAGATCTCGATTTGCTGGCAACAATTGTTCCCCTGTGGCTCCTGCTTGTTGCATCGGCCATTTGGGCTGCAACTGTTCTGACCGTTCGACGGCTGCGGCAAAGATGACTTGCCGGAAGTAAGAGACCAACTTTGCAGCAACCTCGCGCCGAATCCCTTAGCTTTCTGCATCGTGGCAGCAGCGTGCGACATGGTCTGCACGATGTTGTGGGACCCTGTACTGCTCTGGGATACCGAAGATGAAGAAGACGATATACTCTGCACGCCTAACACGGCTGAGTTGCGCGACACGTGGCACTGGTTGTGCCCTGAAGGCCCCTCAGCCTCTTGCACCTCTGTGATCCGGTTCAAGGATTGACTCTCCCGTAACCTAGTCTCACCGGCTCTTCTCCTTCCAGCTCGATGCCTCCTGCCGAATATCACCGGATTCTCTCCTGACCGATGCCTCCCGCCAGTGGTCGTAGTAGTCGTGGTTGTAGTATTGGTACCGCTGCTGCTGTCGTTTTGAGTCGTCTCGCTAGGAGCCTCTGCTGCGTGTTCCCCGTTGCTGACGCCGCCACCACCTCCGCCACCTCCTCCACTGCCACCTGGATCCTGGGAGTCACTAGAATCATCGTGACTATCACGCCTAGAAGGTAGAGGCTTAGCAGACGCACCAAGTTTATGAGCTCTCTTCTTCCTGCTCTCACTATCGTCATCGCTAGCGTCGGAACTAGAGCAAGACGTGGTGCGCGTCTTATGGAACTTGCTACGCTTCTGATCGTACCCTGTGCTCCGGACCACCCGGCACTTTGAACTACCGCTCTCTGGCGTCGGCACTGCTACCCGGTCGCCATCTTCCAGAATCTCATTCAGAGTCATCTGGGGCAGCGTGCCAGTGCTACCCGGTGAGGGCATGGTCTTGTACTTAGGGGTCAATAGCTGATTGTCGCCAACGACTACGGGATGAAGAGGAATGGAGACTGTAGAGGACTCCGTCAAGATTGTTGTAGTAGTGGTAGTTGAATTGGGGTCAGCTGGTTTCGGTACATTAGCCGACAAAGCGGAGTCCAAAGATGATCCTGTTGGCCGATGCTGCGACCCCATCCGCCATTTATTCGCCGGTACCGGTCCCATTGGTTTCAAGCACTCTGTAACAGACTTCGGTCTGTTCTCCATAGTAACTTGCTTCCTCGTCCAACCAGGTGAATCCCCGAGGCGGTTCTTCAGGTTCTCCTGGCAGCTGGGTACTTTATCCAGCAAGTTGCCTGGCTGAGTCCTGCTCACCATGTTCTGGAGGACAGGCGACAGGGTGTCATTCCCGGTGCTAGGACTAGACTTCAGCCTGTCCTCCCCGTCGATGATGGAAACAACGCTGCCGTCCTTCGATACGGTCCGCGATGGAGGTGGCTTGCCGGTCGGCTTCTCCGGCAGCTGCGACAGACGGTCCTGCAGGATGTGCGAGAGTTTGCCCTCGGAACGCGAGCCGCGCCGGTTGAACGAGTTCAGAGCGGAATTGCTGCCCCGATCGTCTCGACCCGAACACGAAGACACGTCGTCCTCGTCCTCGTCCTCCTCCTCCTGTACGATGCTGCATTTCCGCGTCCGCACGCTCTGCAAACAGAACACCCGTCTTTTTTCCCGCGGGAGGAACGATTTTCGGCAGAACTCTATGGTCTGCCATTTTTTTTCAATTGACGAATCATTGGCTCTGATTTTATTTGACACATACCTGAGGCACTTCGCCAGGGGTCCGAGGAAGACTGAGCAACGTTTGGTTCACCGTGCTCAGAGAGTTCTGCTCGACACGCAGGTTGGTTGGTGTGTCATCTTGCCGCCTGAAAGTAGAAGATCGTTTTGGGGGTTGTTTGGTGTTAAGATGATTTGGACAGGGTGAGGTCTGAAATAAAGGTGATAAGCATACTTTGCGGAAACGTCTAGAATCTCTGGACGTGTCTTCTGCACCTGCTCCTGACGGTGGGCTCGCAGTTTCCTTTCGGCTAGCAGGAAATACGTCGCCGTTATGTGGTTGTACTCGTTCTTGTCTAGAGCACTATGGACAGAATGAACGATTACGCTATTTACGTATTATATAGTCAAGGAAAATAGTGTTCTTGGAAACTAACTGTTAAAATCGTTATGTTATTAGTAACTAAATTAAAGTAGTAAATTCAAAATTGGGATTCTTTTCAGCCAAGAATGTTGGTGTAAGCCAGTTGAACCGCCCTATATACCTGATTAGCTGACACAGCGAACGAAATAATTGGCAGTACACAAGATACGGTTATTTGGCAAGGAGTCTCGAATATTTGATATCGAAGATATAAGTCAAACACTGTTATGAAATTGATTTACTCACTCCAATATTTCTTCTTTGGTGGCGATGTTACCATTAACCATTTTGGTGATTATATGATTATGATGATCGTCAGACACTTGTTGCCTAGAAACAAGTGGCAACGCTTCCACGGGATCCGAGTCGCTCCCGATCGCCAACCAAGGGTCAGCAGCGATTTCCTCGAGCGTCGCTCGGCCCTCTGGCTCTCTGACGAGCATTTTAGCGATCAGCCGCTTGCAACCCTCCGATACATGCGGCGGAATAGAGTACTTGCAGTCCATGATCATCGTGAGGGTCTCGCTGTCGTTAGCCTCTTGGAATGGAGCTTGGCCGCACACCAACATGTACAAAATAACACCTAGGGACCAAACATCTGGAAGCAAACACAGAAAAATGGTTTTACAAGGAAACTAGAATTCAATAGAAAATTGAATACTGAAATCTATGAAAATTGAAAATTTTATAAATATTTCTGTGAATCAGGAGACAATTTAGAAATATTTCAATTTCAAATCTTATTAATTTCAAAATATTCGAATCTCCATTTATATTAATTTGAACATATTTGAATTTCAATAGATATTAATTTCAAAACATTCCAATGTCTATTAATTCGAAAACATTTGAAACTGAATTTTCAATTTTCAATTTGAATAGTATCTGATTACAAACAACTTAGAATCACCATTAAAATTTATTAGGTTTTTCACAACATTAAATTTTAATCTAGCGTTGAATATAGTCATTTATTCAAATTGTTCCGTTAACTTCTCTCTGGCAATAAACCATAAAACAGGATCCGGTGGAGATTAAATTGTTTTGTATTCGTGCTTACCGACAGCGGGAGCATCGTAGCTATCTCCGAGGAGAATTTCCGGCGCGGAATACGCCAGCGAGCCGCAGGAAGTTTCCAGCTTCTGGCCAGGGCAAAACCTATTGCTAAATCCGAAGTCGGTGAGCTTCACGGTGCCGAGTTTCTCGAAGAACACCACGTTCTCGGGTTTCAGGTCCCTATGCACCACGTGTAATCGATGGCAATATGATATGGCTCTGACTATTTGCCGGAAATAGGTCCTGGCCACCTGTGGTCGATTAAAAGCGTATCAGTGTACCTCCGACAAAGGGGTTGCTTGCCTCAACATTTCGCCCGTCTCCTCGCGGAAGAGAAAGGATCGACTGAACCCACTGTACTGTCGACTCAACCCATTATTGCCGTTTCAAACTTCCTAAATATGTCATTTCATATAAAAATCAAATACTCCTAAGAGTATTCTATATAGAAATAAAATATCGAACAAATTATCCACTATATACGAATCGCTCAGAAGTCAATGCGGTTAAGTTCAGAAAACAAAAATTGAGGAAAATAAAGTTTCAGCTTCTGAAATGATTGTACATATTCAGAAGCTGTAAGAAGCTACTTTTGACCTAGAAAAAAACGAAGAACCGAGTAAATCCTTGAATTACTAAGAAGAACAGCATTTATTCCATTAAAACTTACAAAAATCAGAAAACATCAAAAAATAGACTTAACCACATTGGCTTCCGAGCGACTCGTATCCCGAATTGCAAAACTGCGGCAGAACTGCTTGCAAACATTTATCACGATAAACCAGCGTTACTTTCTAATTCGTGTTTACGACAAGTAATATTTACTTCAAATTTAATTGCAGCACTACACATTTACAGCGCACAAAAGTGTGCCAACCATTAAAAGAGACAGCCGCAATGGACATTCGATCGGATCCCTACATCGCCATCCAGCATCGCGCAATTTCTAATCAAAAAAATAATAAACCGTTGATCCCCGTCTATAAGCAACAGCATAAAGTAATCTACATTCTGCATAAAGACTCACGAGCCAACCGATTATCCGAATATCGCTTCAACATCGACATAACGAATGGAACACCGGCGTTAATGAGTAGACCGTCAAGAGAAACTCGAGAGAAAACCGAGAGAAACTTTTCCGCGGAAGATTATCTCGGGCAGTTTGATCGCTTTCGTTAAGAAACATATTCCAGCCGACAGCAGTTTTCCCAATTAATCGCAACTGGATCGCGACGGTGTTGTCACGGTCGGACGTTACCTCCTCGCTGAGGCCGCTGTCGTGCCGCATGATGTAATCGTATAGATCACCGCCATCGCCTAGCTCCAGGATCAAGTAAAGCTTCGTCTGGGTGTCTATCACCTCGTAAAGCCTGACCACGTTCGGATGTTGCACCAGCTTCATGCATCTCACCTGGGAGAGGGAAACAAAGAAGATAGGTACACAGAGCGCCGCGTCAGGCATAAACTGGTCAACGACCCTTTCTCCG